CACACAGCAGCAGCCTCCAGGACGCAGGGGGCGCTGCCTGGGACAGAGGCCCTGGGGGCATTCTGCAGGGACAAGATAGGCTCAGGACTGCAGCACTGAGCAGGAGGGCCATCGAGCACCGGGAAGGGGGCCAGTGGGCGCGACCCACTGCGGCAGGCCAGGCCGGGCGCCCACGGGGCACGACTACAGCCAGCAAGAGCTGTCCTCAGACCTCGTCCAGCTGTCACCTCTGAGGGGGGCGGGGAGACACGGCCAGGCAACAGGACTTCCTCAAGACCAAAAGGTCCTTTGGCTTCAAAAGACCCATCAGGACAGGCAGGCGGAGAGAGCTGTGCAGCGGGGTCTAGGCCACGGGCACGGAGACCCCAAGTCACAGAGGGAGGGTGTGACCAGGCTCTCCCACAATAGCACCCAAGAAGGGCTCGGCGTGGTCAGTGTCAGGGGACCACCCAAGGCCACCGCTCCACTGCACTCCGCGGGCATCCCTGGACTCGGCAGAGTGGGCTGACTCACCAACTGTCAAGTGCACCCTTCAAAGTCGCTCTAGCGTCCACGTGCATGCCACCAAGCCCTCCCAGAGCACGTCCATCACCAGAAGAGCCCTGCCCCCTGCGCTCACTGCCCGCCCTGCCCCAGCCTCTCTGGAGCCGCTGGGCCCGCGGGGCTCCTGGGCTGCACGTGCGCTTTGAAGGCTCATGCGAGCTAGAGCGTGTCAGGCTTCGTGTCCATTCACCGGGAGATGGACACAGCTGTCCCTGCCCCTGGCTGCCATCATGTTGCTGCCCATGTCTGTGCACAGGATCTGGTGGGACCCGTGGCCTCGTCTCTCCCAGTCTGTGTCCAGGACTGGAGCTGTGGGGCCCCGTGGGAACTGCTGGGTTCCCACGTCCACCACCGGCCTCCCGCTGGGTGGTCTCCCAGCCCAGGTGTGTGGGCACTCGCCACATGGGCAGGACGATGGGGTCACCTGAGGTGCACCTGGAACGTCGACTGTTCAGAAGCGGCACCGACACACCCGCGTGCACACACATGGGGGCAGCAGGGTGAGCAAGGGGCCTGCCCGGCCTGCCCTGCCCAAGCTGGGCCCTGCGAGGGACGCCCCTCGGGAGCAGCTCCCCTCCACAGCCCCAGCCAGACACACAGGGCCAAAGCTCATCAGCCACTTGATCCAAGGTGGGCTCCTGGTCAGGGGGAGCTGGTCCAGGCGGACAGTTCTGAAGGACCCCAGGCCTGAGTCCCGGCTCACTAGCTCTGTGACTGTGAGCAGGCCCCATGCCTCGGTCTCCCCATCTGCCAGATGAGACAGTCAGGCCCAGGGCTGCAGTGCCAAGTGGGCGAGAGGTCAGACGGGCACTCTGGGCGCAGGGTGGTGCGACAGACCTGTCACCGTCACTGAGGGCTCCCGACACTCCATCTCCACCTGCTGAGACCAACGTGCCCCAACTGCAGTGCCTGCAGGGGCTCAAAGTCCCCGCCAAGCCTCCTGTGTCGGGCGGGCAGTGGCCGGGTGACCGCCATGGCCCGGGGCCGTGGGCAGGTGGCCGGGGCGGGGCTCTGCTTGGCATGCTGAGGTCTCCCTGCCCGTTGCCTCAGCCCCAGGAGGCTCTCGAGGCCTGTCACACCCCCGTCCCCTGAGCAGACGCAGGTAAGAAAAGCGGGGAGCGGGGGCCCGGGGAGCCACAAGAGCAGAACCCCACCAGGGCCAGGGAGACCGGGGTTTCTGTTCTCCACGTGATGCCATCTTCCCTCCCTGGGCTCAGCCGACCCTGGCACAGGCACCTGCTCACCGGTCCTTACCCTCCCCTCTCACCTCAGGGGACAAGGGGAAGCTTCCCTGACTCTTTTTCCATATTTGCTTTTCACATGGGGCCAGGGCAGCATGGGTCAGGGCTGTGTGACCCTGGGTAAGTAGCTCGACCCCTCTGAGCTCTGGCTTCCTCTGCCTGCTTCACAGTGGTGCCCTGAGGGTGCTCCCACCCTCGTTCCCTGCTCGTCACAGGACGTGAGAGGAGTGCTGGGCTGTACTGCCTTTCCTCTGGTCGTTAGGCAGGTGGGTCCTTCCGCTCTGACAGGATAAAGGCCCTGCGTGACGTGACGCTCCACACTGGCAGGGAAGGGTGTCATCTCATGCCACTCTCCACGTTCCGCCCGCTTCCCGGGAAGATGTCCCGGGAGGGGTGCAGGCGCGGGCCCCCGGGCCCGGGGGTTGGTTGGGTTCCGGGGGTTCCGTTCTTGGCCCGGGCGCTGCCCACTCAGGCCTCGCCCTCCCACCAAGGCCCAGCACAGCAGGAGCTGGCTGTCCCCACCCGCAGGCCCCAGGAGGTGGTGGGCACTCACCGGACACCTTCGTTGAGGCTGAAGAGCTCCTGGTCGGGCAGCCCCCTGCGCTGGAAGACGGCGATCACCCCGTTGTGGATGCTGTGGCCGGGGAGAGAGGGGGTCACACACTGTCCCCGGTCCCCCCTTTCCTGCTCAGCTCCGAGAGTAGGGAGAGGGCAGGGACGGGCAGGGCTGCTGGTCCCTCAGGGCCCTGTGCACACCCAGATTTCAGCCCTGGCCTCCGTGGAGCGAAGGCCTGTGTCAGGTGCCTCCTGGTCACCTCTGCAGGCTGCCTGGGCACCCTGCACCCGCCACGGCCAAGCCTCGGCCAGCTCCACCTCCTCCCCAGCCTCCCCGTGGGGCTGGAAATGGGTGGGGGACACGCTGCTGGCCTCTCCTGCCCCCAGTGTCCACATCCCACTGACCGGCCTGCTCAGGGCTTGTTGCCTGGGGTCCGTCTCCACCTCCACCCACCCCTACCCCACGTGACCCTGGCTCCCCAGCCCACCAGGGCCAGCTTCCAGGTGGCCCAGCCAGTGTGGTCAGCAGAGCCCCGAGGGCTTCAGCCCCAGCTTGTGAAAGCAGGGTCCATGGGTGCCCCCTCTGAAGCCGGAGGGGACTCCGGTGACCACTCGGCTCTCGCTGAGGTGGTGGCTTGGGCCCTGCCCACTGGTCGGATGCAGACCCCCAGTGGAGCCCGTGGGCCCCAGCCTCTGCACAGAGCCGGCCGCCTCGCCTGCCCGCACCAGCCCGTGTGCGCCAGGTCCTGGGATTCCGCCTTCCCTCCAGCACCCCCAGGAAGGAGGCCCTGCTCCTGACCGTGCCTGTCTGGCTCAGAGGAGCCGGGAACGTAAGCCTGCCTGCATCCTCCTCCGGCCACCCTGTCTTGGCCGCCAAGGCCCCGTGGGTGACATTTCTGCACCCCAGGCCCAGGCCCCCCCACAAAGCACAGGGCCCCCAGGCTGGGCCATGTCTCTGGGTCTAGTTGTCCACCACCTCCAGGAAGCTCTCCTGCCCTGCCCAACACCACTCACAGGCCAGTGTCCTGCCAGCACCCCGCTAGTCCTGCCACCACTGAGTCCCCAGTGGGGAGCAGTCCAGGGCTGGGGGCCCACGGCTTTCTAGGGCTTTCTAGCGGGGGCTGGCTGTCACTGAAGCTCAGTACCAGAGCGGCTGCCACACTGACACTCCTCGGCCTGGAGGGACAGCTGGCCACACCTGCCACCCACAGCAGGAAGCAGGGGGGCTCCTGGTGTCCCTTCATTAACCCTTTCCTGTGACTGGCTGCCCATTCTGCAGATGAGGAAACCGAGGCCAGAGAGGCTGAGTCCAAGGCCAGACGACGCAGAGCTAGCAACCTGGTGACCCGCGTCACCCGCTCCACCTAGCCAGGGTCCCTGCATGGAGCCAGGTCTGGGTAGGGTTTCCGTCCCCAGACCTCACGTCCCCGCCCTGCTAGGAGTTACCGCTGGCCTCCCGGCAGCTGCTGGCCAAGACCAGCTGGACACGGCCCCTGGCCTGGTTGCCGACCACCTAGGCTGACGCCCCCTTTGTGTGTCTGCCCCCAGCCCCTGCCCTGTCTGTGGGAGGGATCACCAGGGCCCAGCGGCTGCAGCAAGGGTGTGAGGCCCACCCAGGGCGGGGCCAGGTCCTGTGTGCAGACAGGGACTGAATCCCAGGGCGGGTTCGGTGGGTCCTAGAGGGCAGCTGCCACCCTGGAATCCCCAGGGCAGGAAGCTGTCCGCCACCGAGGGAGGGGAGGAGCTC